GTTCAGGCTGGTCCTTGTCTAGAGGTTCAGGCTGGTCCTTGTCTAGAAGTTCAGGCTGGTCCTCACATGAGTTCAGGTCTTAGTGTTTTTAAGTCTCTGGTAATATAAGAGGACTTGTTAATGATATTTAAATGTTTTTATTTCATGTCATTATATTTTACTTTTGTTTTTTTAGGGTCTCTTGCGTTTGTTTTTTTTTTTAATTGTTTGTTTTGTGAGCAGAACAACAGTTGTTTTTAAGTGTTTTACTGAAATAAATTAGACTTGATTTAAAATGTAAATACTGCTTATATGATTAATTTTTTAATTAATAACTGATTATTTTTTATTAATAACTGGTTACTTTTTCAATTAATAACTAATTATTTTTAATTAATAACTGATCGTTTTAAAATTAATAACTGGTTAAACTTTAAATTAATAACTGATTGTTTTCCTTGTTTTAATCACACACTGAGCAGTTTGTTGAACTCGATGAGAGGAATTTGTTTGTTTTTAGGGAAACGGTGACGAGGAATCTGTCAAAAGCGTCCTAACGTCTCCGGAGAACCGGATCCTCGTTAAGCGGATGCTGATTAAATGTGCCGACATCTCGAACCCGTGCCGGCCTCTGGAGCTCTGCATCGAGTGGGCCGGACGCATCTCCGAGGAGTATTTTGCACAAGTAAAGAAAGAAAGAAAAAAAAGAATTATCTTTAAAATGTACAGTTTCAGTGAAAAAAAAAATCAGTGCGACTGTGATGAAAACTGCTGACGAAACTTTAGCTAAAATCTAAAAGAAGAAAACAGCTAAAGAAAGTAAATGTTAGCTAAAAGACAAAAGTTCCAGAAGGCTTGATAAAAATTAAACCAACAACACAGAAACTATATGTAAAAGATATTATGTTTACCAAAAGCTGTTAGTAACAAAAGTCTAGCTAAAGGCAAAGCTAAAAGCTAGCTATAAGCTAAAAGTAGCAAAAATCTGGCTTAAAACAAAAAGTAGCAAAAAGATGGCTAAAGCAAAAAAGTAGTAATGGGATAGCTAAAAGTAGTTGGCAGTTTAACATCTAAAAGTAACTAAAGGCTTTATAGAAGTTAAAATTACTTAAGGATAACAAAATGCAAAGAGTTAACTGAAAATTATAAGCAGCAAAAGATTAACTAGAAATTAAAAGAAACAAAAACCTAAAGATAAAAAATAGCAGAACAATAACTAAAACTTAAAAGCAGAAAAAGGTTATCTGAAAGTTTTAAAATGCCAGCTAAAAGTAGCAGAACAGTAACTAAAAGCAGAAAAAGGTTAGGTAAAAATAGCAAAATGCTAGCTAAAAGTAGCAGAACATTAGCTAAATGCTAAAAATTAAAAGCAGAAAAAGGTTAGTTAAAAATAGGAAAATGCTAGCTAAAAGAAGCAGAACAGTTGCTCAAATCTAAAAGTATCAAAAGCTAGCTAAAGGCAGAAAAATGGCAAAAGGCTAGCTAAAAGTAATATGCTGGTTGTTAAACATAAAAGTAGCAAAAGACTTGATAGAAGATAAAAGTTACAGAATTATAACTAAATACTAGCTGAAAGCCATAATCATCTAAAGGTTAGCTAGGAATTAAAAGAACCAAAAATAACCTAAAGTGAAAAGTAGGATAATAGTGGAAAGCTAAAAATTAAAAGCAGCAAAAGGTTATAGCTAAAAGCAGAAAAATGGTATGAGTAGCTAAAAGCTATAAGTAGTATAAAAAAGGCAAAATCCGAGCCAGTAGCTAAAGAAACTTTAAGAGAACGACATTTTTGAAGGAACTGAAGAGATCTGAATTATTTTTAGGAGAAAATATGATGATATGATTAATATATTTGTTTGGGATTTGCCAGATTAAATAAAGGTTAACAATAATAACATTAAATATTTTGAAAAAGGTAAAGATAAAACGTAGCTGGATTAAGAAATAACTGTGAATGCAGACTCTGCAGTGATTATGGAGTGTTGTCTGTTTGTATTTTCATGTTTCTCAACACGTGTTGTTGTTGTTTGTGGGGCAGACGGATGAGGAGAAGAGACAAGGTCTCCCGGTGGTCATGCCTGTGTTCGACAGAAACACCTGTAGCATCCCCAAGTCCCAGATCTCCTTCATCGACTACTTCATCACGGACATGTTTGACGCGTGGGACGGTGAGACGGTGGCGCACAGTCCTGCCTGAAGTTCCTCGTATCAGTGTTCGTTAACAAAACGTCTCCTGTCCTCTCCGCAGCCTTTGCAGACCTCCCCAACCTGATGCAGCACTTGGACAACAACTTCAAGTACTGGAAAGGTCTGGACGAGCGCAAGCTGCACAGCCTGAGACCCCCCCCGGAGTAGGCCCCGTCTGGCCCGGGCACGCCGCGTACCTGGGCGGATCTGCTTTCTCCCGCTGGGGCGTCGCTCTCCTCGCCTTTACTGTCCAGCTTCTGTAGCACGCCGAGCGTCCACGTGTCCATCCGCACTGAACTCGCAGAGGGACCCCCTCACGTCGCGGATGAAGCCCGTCGGATGACCGCTGCTATACGAAGACGCAGCGTCCTGTGAACCTCTCGGGCCATTTCCTGCAGCGTGGCTGACTGAATGAGCGCCGCACGGGGAGCTCGGCAAAGCGTCCATCCTCCGATCAGCGGGCAGGCGCTCCCGTCTGCCGCGAACGATGATGTTGGGAGTCAGAACTGCTCGCTGGCAGGAGTGGATGGTCCACTTCAGGACATGGAGTCACCTTTGACCTCCTCCTGCGCTCCTAGAGTCCTCCATGAAAGTACACTCCACTGCTTCTCTCTTGGTTTTGTTTTTCAGGCAACATGTTCACGTGTCCTTCAGAAACACTTACAGTAAGTTAATGTGAGATGGTGGAGGGGTGGGGGGCGGTGCTTCCTTTATGGGTGGAGCTTTATTCTAGGCCCCCGCTGAGAAACAAAAACCTCAACATGTAGAACGTCCGTATTTAAATACACATTATTTTCTCATTTTTTTTACCCATTTTTTTCTATATTAAATTCCATAAATGAGTTGGTTATTAAAATAAATCAGTTTAAACAGGAAAAGCCAAAGCTAATGAAGACAAATACTACTATAACTCTTAAAAACTCACAATTATTAGTCCTATTATTAATCATTTTTTATGTTCATATCAAGAGTACAGGACCGGTTTGATTGTGGTCTTTTGTTTTGCACTGGAAGTGTCTCAGTGATTTGTCCAGGAACTGTTGCGTTGAAGAATAAGCTGTTGCTCCTCACGAGTGTGTGTGTGCGTGTGTGTCCCTGACTCTTGGTCTAATGCTGTAAGCCTCCTCACGTTTGACAGCAGCAGAGATACGTGAAAACACTTTGGACTTGAAAAGTTTAGTTCCTGTTTTCCTCCCAGACACATTTTGTATCTGGTTCGTCCTACTGAACAGACTGCCTTATTTTGTACAATATTTATACAGCAACATCCCACTGTGCAGCTGCAGCAGACATCTGGAGCTTTTCTTACGATGCAGCCGGAAGGTTACCTTCGAGCAAATCTCAATATTTTTATAGACGATGAATTTTACACTGGATCTGCAGCAGACGAGATCAACTATTATCTGAATACCTGTGAATGAGGAGTGAAGCAGGACGAGTTGTCTATCACTGTCATTCAGCAGTCTCCTAGAGGCTGGCTCGAATTGATTTTTTTTTTTTTTTTTTTTGTTTTTGGTTTGTTTTTGGATCAAATGCCCTTTTTTTTTTTTTTTGGCCAACAGTCCAACGTCCTCTCTGCACAGGTTTGAGTAAGATCGTTTGGTTTAAGGCTGGATTCAGATTAGGATACTAATATATGTTAAAGATTGTTGCTTCTTAGGAATATTGCCTCTTTGAACAGTATAAAAACATCCCAACAGCTCAGCCAGGGGTGGTTAATACGATGCATTAACCACGATTATTTTTGGTTTTCTCTCAAACGGCAGAATTGTACGCTCAATCAGGGGATTTGTTTGCTCCTTCTGATCCACGTTTTGGTCTGAAAGCACGGGGGGAAAAAGAACATTAGAAATTATTCAATGAAAAAATAAAATGTCAAATACATCTTCGCTGTAAAATGTCTTTTCTCACTCGTTTGAACTAAAAAATTTAACCGTCTTATTTCTCATTTTTACAGGGTTACACTTTAGGGCTGTGGTCCTTGGTTCTTGTCCTGGAGGGCCACCATCATGCATGTTTTAACTTTTCCTGCCCTTCAGCAGCTCTTTAAGTTCTGCAGAAGCCTGTTGACGCAGAGAAACATCTCAAACATGCAGGATGGTGGTCCCCCCAGGATCAGGCCTGAGGACTGGTCCTTCAGAGGTGCCTCCCAAAGGTTTCCTGCACCGAGAGCTGAAATATCAGAGCAGCTTTAAGCAAACTGTTGGTCGTCTCTGGTCATAATAGAAAGCATTTAAACTTCCATCGAATCATTTTCTTCCTCCTCGCTGTGGTTGGGTTGCAGCGCTAACAGAACCAGGAGGAAAACCCAGACCTCCCTTCTGGGGGATTACAAGGTGTTCCCAGACCAGAAAAGATATTCTATGTAATCCCTCCAGAGAGGAACAAGAAGGAGGAACAGATACACAATGGCAGGTCAAGAATCGCATGTTAAGATAGAAATAGTATCAAATGAAAACTATTCAGTTTTAGCAAATAATTAAAGGAAATGAGATCAATTTGTCCTCTAGTAGTCTAAGCTTAAGGCAGCATGACAAGCCAACACTAATTAAAGGATTTATCAAAAAGGAAAGTCTTAAGCCCAGTCTTAAAACTGGACAATTGCTAGCATCACTCAGCCCCCCGTGAATAGCAAGCGGCCACCAGGGCACTAACAAGCAGTTGTTAGGCTGATTGTCCTCCGTATGCATGTGAACAGCGAGTTCTGGATGTCATCAACAAACTGGTTGATCCACTATGACAAGGGGCTATTTATAAGAATGAGTTTGTTGCAGCTCTTCAGACTGAAGTCTTTCAGATAAAAAACGAAATGTTTCAACAACAAGAATCCGTCCAGAGGACCTGACTCAACCTTGTTAGAGTTTATCTCAACTAAAATCAACTTTCTCCTCTGAGTCAAACTACTTGCCTGATTTCTTCATGCAGAGCTGTGACTTAGTGCTTTAAACGAGTAACTTGTGTCCAAACTTAAACAAAATACTTGTGTATAAACATCTCTTCCAGCTATTTTTGTTTGTTAAAAGAAAAGAAAATGCACAATTTGAACATTTTTCCTCTTCATTTATGAGCATTAAAGTGTTAAGTAATAATTTCTGTTGTTAAAGATGTCAGATTGCAGCACATCTGTAAATGAGAGGGTTCTCTTCAAAGAGAACGAGGGCTGTCGTCGTGTGCACTAATGGCTGAAAAGCTGCCGTTTCACTCAAAAAACACGACCCGTATACACGGCCTGAGTACCTGGGACTCTTAATCCTGATGGCAGGATGAAGCGAGAGATGGATCGACAGATAGGGGCCTCTTCCACAGTAATGAGGGCGTTGCTCCGGTCTGTCATGGTCAAGACAAAGCTGAGCTGAAAAGCAGACCCATAACTCTCAAACCCAGCCGGTCGAAGCAGATGGCCGCCTGTCCTGAGCCTGGTTCTGCTAAAGGTTTCTTCCTCCTGAGGGAGGTTTTCCTTTCCACTGTCGCCTTCATGTTTGCTCAAGATGAGAGTTCTGCGATGGAGTTAAAATCAAAGCAGTCTGCTCCTCAGATAAATAATGTTAAATTATTATTTTATATATAAATGTTTCTTTTAACTTATTTTTACATATGAATGTTTCTGTTCAGTGCCCTGGGACGACTTCTGTTGTGACTTGGCGCTACATAAATAAACTGAATTGAATTGAACATCATTATTCTAAGAGGGGGACAGAACACGGAGGCCTCCGCCCCTGTTTAATGATGGACAGGTTCTTTTCACAAAGATGGCCTCCTTTACTCCTCTCTCAATCGTTCCTCTCTATCCAGGATGTGAACATCTTCATCCCTGAACGAGTGACCGCTGATCTGCAGATGAGTGTAGACCGCAGAATCCTGGCCTGATGATGTTGATCTTCTGTGCTGGTCCATCCTTTTGGCCAGTGGCTGTTTAGTTTCCCTGATGTAAGACTGATCACAGCCCTCCTGACACTGAACATCATACACAATATTACTCCGTTTGTGCCGGGGGACTGGATCTTTGGGATGATCCAGTCTTTGCCGTAATGTATTTTGGGGTTTTAAAGCCACTGGGACGTTGTGTTTAGAAAATAAACGTCTCAGTTTCTCTGAAACTCCTGCAATATACAGAATGACCACTGGTCTGGGTTCCTCCTCTTGATGGCTGGCTGGAGTCCTGTTTGGGTTTCTTCTCTGCTTTCAGGAAGGCCCAGTTAGGATATCCACACTTTTCCAAAACCTGTCTTGTGTGAGACTTCTCCTTCTGCCTGGCTCCTGAGTTAGTGGGGACGCTGTCTGCTCTGTGGTACAGAGTCCTGATGACTCTTAACTCGTGCCAGAAGAATCCGTCCACAGGACCTGTCTCAACCTGGTCAGATTTATCTGCCTGGATTATTGAGCATGCTTCAGGATGTTGGAAGAAGCTATTTTTCAGAACGAGGATCAGAGAGGACAGCCATTTTCCCCGAGCAGCTGGTGGTGAGGGGACACGCAGGGGCCACAGCGAGGGACAGCAAAAACAAAGACAGGTCTGTTTGTTGTTAGTCAGGTACGAAATACAACATCCACTGCTGCTATAAGGTTGAAAAAACCTGTTTACTCTGAAAGTTTTGTAGGAAAACTGAAAAATGTAACAAAGAATTCAATCATTCTCCCCCCTGCTAAGACTCATAGCACACCAGCTTTATTTAAACAACCTTGGGACCAAAGTGCTGTACAGTTAGTCAATAAAGCCACCGGCAGTCACACAATACATCATAAAAACATTTAAAAGCAAACCAAATACAGCCTAATGTTAAAAACTAATAAATCAAATAAGTTAAAAATAAACTAAAATTAGATCAAATCAACATCTCAGGTGGTGTCGAAAGCCAAGAAGAGGTGGATTTAAAGAAGCGGTTTAAACGAGCGGTACTCCAACGTTCTGCGTCTCTGAGATTTTTTAGAGTAAATGTAGTTTTAAAGCTGAGTGTTTTTTTTTTCTGGACTGGAACTGAATAGACTGAAGTAAACCTAAATGTTTTTAGTGCAAGACATTCAAGTGGGCAGGAGTTGCACTGTGGAGAAGAACAGAGGGAGGATTTTATTTTATTTTATTTTATTTTTTTTTACTCAAGGCAGCGCAGAGAAACGGATCCTGGAGAGAGGAGGGAGACATTTTATTCACCACCAGGTACAATGGAGGA